CATAAATAAGACGGAAGTCCAGAAAACGTCCTTGGAACACTAGAAGAGAAAGACTGTAGAGTAGACAAGTTCTTCAAAGTGCTCTTTCCAACCAATATTTCTATTGGTCTTGTCTTGAAGAGTGGCTGTTCATGTGTGCAGCTCATTCCTGCACTGCCTGGAGTTTGCTTGGATGATTTCAAATATTTTATTTAAAAAAAAAAAAGGATTGGAAGATGGGACTGTCTATCACAAGCTATTTATGGGGAAGACAAAGCAGGCTCCACATTGTGAGGGATAAGAAAGTGAAGTATACTAGTAAGAACTGTAAAGTCTACAAGTAAGCTGAATAGAGGAATAAAGCTGAAGGGAGTTGAAGTGTAGGTATACTGTGTTCAATAACAATTAGTGTTAAATTAGACTAGAATTTACTAGGACGTACAGTCCTTATAATTTTCAGCTTTATGTCATAGAAATGCACTGACTAATAAGCACATACATTAAATAAAAGTAAAGCTTGCAATGGCTTATTTCCTATGGCGCTTTCTGAATTTATTCCTTCCTTGGAGTAATTATTACGTAGCACAAGGTACATTTTCTGTTCCAAATCCTAAAAGACAGTTTCTGTTTCAGCATAGTAGAATTAACAACTCCAGCCTTCAGCAGAACAGATTTCAGCTTGTTCAGGAATTGGCCTTGGAGAGCTGGTTGACCAGCCTCCTAAAAGTTCAAGAATGGTCTATTCCAGTGTGTGGAAGTCAAGCAAGAGTGGCAGAAAGCCAGCATGGGTAAACAAGGAACTCCTGCCTAAGCTCAACTGCAAAAAGAAAGTACACAGAAGGTGGAAGGAGGGGATGGGCTACTCGTTAGAAATAAGGACATTGGCCAAGCATTCAGGAGAGAAATTAGGAAAACCAAAGCTCAGCTGGTGTTGAAAATGGCAAGGGATATAAAAAGCAACAAGAAGGGCTTCTTATAAGTATGTGGGCAGCAAAAGAACACATTTTCCATAGGCTTTCCTGCTGCTCAGTGGGGCAGGGAACCTACTGACAAGGACATAGAAAAGGCAGAGGTCATCTCTGCCTCACTCTTTAGGGAGTGAGGCTTGCTCACCCCATTTACGGGTGAGGCTTGCTTTCCCATGTCCCTGAGCCCTCACTAGGAAGAGGAAGGTCTGTGAGAATGAGGAATTACCCACAGTGGAGGAAACAGTATTCAAGCTGACTGGACCCGCAGGTCCATGGAACCAAATCTCATGCATCAGGGGGTGCTGAGGGAGCGAGCCAATGTCATTGCAAAGCCACTAGCTCTCATCTTTGAGAGGTCGGAACAATCAAGGGAGCTTCCTGGCAAATCTCACACCCAGCTTCAAGTCGAGCAAGAAGGAGGATCTGGGGAGCTACAGAGGCTGGTCAGCAACACCTGACTCCTTGGGAAGATTGTGGAGCAAATCCTCCTGGAAGCTATTTTCAAGTACATGGAAGACAAGAAAGTGATTGACAACAGCCAATGTGGATTTACTGGGGGCGAATAGCACGTAACCTTCTTGCCTTCTACAGTGAGGTGACCGGCTCTGCTCAAAGGGAGAGCAGTGGATGTAGCTTACTTTGACTTCAGCAAGACCTCTGATGCAGTCTCCCTTAGTACCCTTGTAGCCAAATCGGTGAGAGTGCATTATAAGTGGGTGAAAAAGTGGCTGGACCAATGGCAAAGAGATCTTACTGCTGTTATCAATACCGAAATGGGGAAGGTATAGAGAAGATGGAGCCAGACACCTCTTGAAGATGCAGAGCACGAGGACAAGTACCGATTGACACAAGATGGGACATGGAAAATTTTAATTAAATATTAGGAAAAACTTTTTCACTATGAGGGTGATCAAACTCTAGGACAGGCGTCCAAGAGAGATTGTGGAATTTCCATCCTTGGAGATACTAATGTTCCCTCTCCCCTCAAGGGACAATTACGATTTGGAGCTCTAAGTTGTGGTTCCTTACATAGTGTCACTTTCCCAAGACAGAACTTCTTAATCAAGAGATGAACTGAAATTTTGGACTATAACTAGAAAATCAGTGTAGAAAGATGCAAGTATTATGAAGTCTTATTTTCACTAAAGTCCTTTTTCTTAGATTGAAATGTTAGATTTGATTGTTAGAAATCTCATGCAGCATTTAAGTTTCAAATTTTAAAGCTTTTTAGGGTATCATTTTGAAAATAGTAAGAAAACTGTTGGAAAAAGTCCCCCCCATACTGGGAGAAAAACACTTTGTAGCTTTTAAATGGAAAACAGCTGTAGGACTAAATAAATTGCTTGGAAAGAATTAAGCAGTACATGTTTTTTCTGGCTCAAAGATGAAACTATTGTCAGACCACCCAAAATACTTCAGAAATTAACTTTTATAACCGAAATGAAACTGGAAGATCAGTTTAGAGTTTCTCATTCATTGCAATTATAATTCAAAGTAACAACTGGTTATTAAGGCCAAGAAAGCACAATGCTGCGTAGTGTCAAATTTCTCTACCACAGCTGTTTAAAAATATATATATATATCTCTGAAATATAAAATTAAAAAAGCAAATCCCAACTACTTCCAGGCACATGTAAAGGCCACAGATCACCAAAACACCTTAGGTACGTGAAGCGTTGGACCTGAAATACTCTACCTTGGCTTAGCATATTTGCATTAATATTCTGCCTTTTTTAGTGTCATAGTGGCCATTTTCTTGCTGGAACCTAATTTGCAAAGCACATTCTGTATATTTTAATGCATTTATCCATATTTTAATTTTTAAGTGTAACACAAAATAGCCATGGTTGCTTCTAGTTGAATGCATGGTGGGCATGGGAGACAATGGGATGGTGCACACTATACCGTGTAACAGTAGCTAGCTAGAGCATCCGCCTGGGAAACAGAAAAACTTGTTTAATTTTCCTTCTCAGCCCAAAGGATGGTGCTAGTTCACATTTCCCACTGCACAGCCACCTGCCCCATCCATCAGGATAAAGACTTAGCTGCCCTAGATTGCCCTTCTGTGCTATAGTGAAAGCACAGCAATGACACGACTACCAACAGAAAGTGTCGTGGCACCAAAAGGAGTAAGGGTGTGTTTCTGTGAGGTGATGGTGGGACTGAGATTACCCTGGGTCATTCAACTGATTCTTGGGCTTTTGCTTTGATACAAGTTACTGGTTTGGCATTGTGTCTATGGCGTGAGTACACATCGCGGAGAGTATGGAAAGCTGGAACGCTTTTGTGCTGGCACTGCTACAAGAGAAACTCCGAGAGAATGCCACACTTAAGCACAGAGCACAACTACCTAGTTGTTGGGGCACTGCCCTGTGAAAGAACCAAAGTCTTGAATTGTTGCTGACATGTTATCTATCTGATGTAAGCTGTATGTTCTGCGTGTTCCAAGAAAAAGGAGGACTGTTGTCATCCATATCCAGATTCAAAAACTGGGCTGCTAAATTAGGGGATGGCTCCAAGCTTTAAATTGTACCTAGACTGGGAGGAGAGTCAGTCCCTGAAACAGCTGCCCTGACATTTTTAATCTACTGCAGTGCATGTCTTGTACCTAAGTATGCCAGGTGCTGGAAATGCCATTCTTAGGCATGTAATGTATCATCAGTTTTTCAATATTTGAGGAAATGTAAGTGTTCAAATCACCTTTTTTGAATTCTTTACAGTTCTGGAACTAGGTTTGTGTCACAGAATCATAATCCCTAAAATTGCTGCTGGACTTGGTCCTAAGTACATAAGAAAAAACCATCCTTCATTTAAAATAAATTTTAAAAAAGTCAGTGATGTTTTTCTACCTATATAACAACATTTTTGCATGTAACTTAGTTTTCATTAAGTACAACAACAAGTTGACAGGGCCAAACATTCTAATACTGGACAAATTGGCAAGCCATCAAGTCTATGCAATACATACCCATTTGGATTCCTAAGTGCCCTATGTATCTATTTAATTCTTTGTTTTGTATTAGGAATACTTGGGCATACAGTTAAATGCCTTGTATGTATGTAAGCATCTATTCCCCCATGTACTTGATAATAAAATTGAAGGGGGGAAAATTGTCATTTTCTTATCACTGAATAGTTAGTGCTTTGTTGATGGAGTACTGAAAACGGGTTTTTTTTCGTATCTCAAGAGAAATACTGAGGTTCTGTTTTAATGGCACGTAGTGTTCTATGTAAAATCTGAAACTAAAGGGCTAAAAACATACCTAAATCAATGGAATGCATTTGAAAGAAAAAATGGGAGAGTGTGTATACCAACATTGATTTCAGTGATTCGCATTTCACTTCCCTTGCTTCTTTTCCATTTAGTTCAGAATCAGAAGAATTAGTAAGCTCAGCCACAGGAGAAGTTCAAGAATTGTTGACTGAGAACTTGACAAATACACTTTCTTTCCCAAAAGAGTGCAATCAGACATCTCTTCCTTTAAACATTTTCTTTTACTTATATTTGTATTTTTGTTAACTTTGTTAACTTTTTTTAACTTACATTTGTCATTTTCTCAGTGTTTAAGCTAAATACGTAGTCGCAGAACTTACGTTTTTTGTGTGTAGTAATGGTTTCGGTTTGAAAGCATGGACATTCCCTACTTGCAAGTAGCCTGTATTACAAATGACAGTACTTTGCCATAGAAGTGGTTTTGCATATAAGGTAAGCAAAACTATGTGTATTTGTAAAAACACGTAGCTGGCACAACTTTAATGTTTAGTTTCTTCTCTTAACAGGTGTTAGTGTCTGTCCAATCCCTAATACTGGTAGCAGAACCATATTTTAATGAACCAGGTTATGAACGATCAAGAGGCACTCCGAGCGGTACCCAGAGCTCCAGAGAATATGATGGAAATATACGACAGGCAACAGTCAAGTGGGCAATGCTTGAACAAATCAGAAATCCATCGCCATGTTTTAAGGAGGTAGGTTTTGTGAAACACAGTAAATACCTTGTTTGTTTATCTTGTTTGAGTGTTAAGAATAGTGCAGATATTTGGAAACATCATGCAGGACATGTCCGTTTTAGCCTCCTCTTTATTCCCTGGGGCAACTGACTCCAGAGGCTGAAGTGAATAAGAATGCACCTGACTTCACAGATTCTTTTCTGGGAAAGGGGAATGCACACAAATTGGGACTGACTGTAAGGAGGCTTGGTGCACAGTTTGATAAAATATGGTTCATACAGCTTGGCTCATTCTTAATGCCAGGCGGTAAGTTTTATATTACATGTGAAAACTATTGATCAGCCCGACAAATGGGCACTCGGTGTTTGTTAGCCAGCATAGCTAACAGTAAGATGTTTTTCCAAGAAACATGAATTTGAAGCAAGTATTAGGAAGCACTTTGGATACACCAAAACAATGCAGACTGGAAAAATACTTTACAACAAATTCCAGACTGCATAATATTTATGGAAGGATCCACAAAGCACCTGCGCTAAACTAGAAATCTCTGCCTTTGAAAGCAATTGTCTGGATGCTGATGAAAGCAATACTAACCTTCATGCATTCACACTGTCTTAAAAAACTTATTGAAAGAAATCAAATTGCTTAATTTGTTTACATTCCTGAAAAAAGACTAACTCACCCATAGCATCATAGAATAGTTTAGTTGTTAGGGACTTCTCTCAGTGTCTCTAGTCCAACTCTTTTCTCAAAGCAGGTCAATTAGATCTCGAGGACTTGAATATACATGGCAAAGGAGTTAAGGCAAAAAGAGCTGAAGATACACTAAGCAAGAGAAGCTGTATGAATATTAATGCAAAATGGTTGGTCAAACATGAGTCATCTCATGGTACTATCAGCAAATACTTAGAGAAAAACACATTTTACTCCGAACTACTAAAACTGTTGCCACTTCTAAACTGAGGTGTGGAACCATCTCATAGCATTACGTGCGCTTTCAATTGTCTGTGTACTGAAACGTTGAAAAAGCATAATTATTTTAGGACTATGCACATTGCTAAATGTGGCATCTGAGTGAACGGGGTAGTCTCCCATCCCTTCCTTGCTGTCCGTAAAAACATCCTTTGGAATGCAAAAGCCTTTTTCCATTCTAATTACTGTGTCTTATGGAATAAGAAACCATAGGGACTTCACCTGCATGACAAGAGTTAAATATTTTATCAACATGCGGATGTGCTGTGTACTCTGGTGTCTTGAATTAATGAAGAAAAACATGGTGGTTATTCAAAACTACCTCTTAAATGTTTTACTCAGTAAGTTGAAGACCATGATAAAGATAATATCGTGACACATAATCAAATAACCTCTGCTAATAGGTCCTTTTTTTCTAGCCAAACGTAATAATTTAATTTTCGCAAAAAAAGTTCTCAGATTACAGTAAGTTTAAGTTAATTGAAGATATCAGAAGGCAGTGGGCTGCCTGACAATAATGCTCCATCTTTCTTTTCACATATACAGAAATGAAGGATATGCAGTATTACAGTATTCGGTAAATGAATCCCAGTTTGCTGTTATTGCACTTTTCAAAAGCATCTCAGCAATATTGTGCTTACTCTGCAGCTTAGCTTTTTTACTTGTATGAAAAAGGCAGCTTGTAAGCTGACATCCTGCCCCTCTTCAGGAAGGCGAAGTAATACGGTCTATCCAAATGGTGGTGTTTCAGTGGAAGACTAATCATTCCCTCAAAACAGATGACTTGCGCATAGCACATTGTTACCAAAAGGCAGATGTTGAAAACAATACAACTACTAGCTTTCTAATGTGGTGTGTAGCTAGGACTGAGTTAAGCTAAGCTACACACACACACGTAAATGAAAAGTAGCGTTAAGACGTAGATGGCGGTTTGCAGAGTATCTTGAACATCTGAAATTCCCTTCTCTTACCTGTGAACAGACGAGAGTTTAGCTGCATGGAAGAGAACTGGCCAACACTTAGAAGCTTTGCATCCAAATTGGTTTGTTTTGGTTTAGGTAACTGCATTTTTCCTCACTTCCCAAGATACAATCTTCTGTTTTTCCATATGTTGAGGTCTTTACGACAGTATGATGAAATCCTCAAGATTCTGAGAAGTTTGAAGCTACAGTAGCCTGCTTCTGTAAGGAGAAGTTTGAGGCTAAAATAGCTTGCTTTTGTGTTAAAAACACAATCATACTAGCTTAAGCTTGGGGTCCTACCCAGTGCAACATGAGAACTCCCTTTCTGCTTCTCTGAATACATATTCCCTATCATTATGTAAAGTGGCATGTATCTTTCCGTACATATCAAAAAATGGAAATAATGCACTGGAAAGCATTACATTTTTCTCTGATGCAATAGCTGAATTTTGGAAGAACGCTAGATTGCATCTGCAGCCCAATCCAAATGAAAATGTGTCTCTAGCATAGATTATCTGAGCACTTCTCTGACTAGCTTGTTGTTAAGATCTCTAGGGGTTTTGCAGGGTTGTGTTAGGAACACAATGATGACACAATTAACAGTGATGATCATTCAGTAACATAAATGCAAAGGCGTCCTGAAAACTTAGGTCTAGGAAAGAAGGTACATCCTTCAGCTCCTAAGACCTTTTGTCTTCACAAATCTGAGCTGTCTTCCCTGCAGTGTCTTAAATGACAGGTAGGCTCAGGGGATCTAAACTGCTGGTCTTTGGGAGTTCTTCCAAGCTCCATTATGGATGTAAGGAATGCATACAGAATTGAAGTCAATTATGCTTTCAATATGCAGTTTTTCTTTAGACAGATAGCTACATTCTCTAACCTCTAGAGGGAAATACGATTTTGTCAATTACGTTGTAATATTGCCAAGAACTCTCTGTGCTCAGTAAAATTTCTTTGATTTTATTGTTTCTTTCACTAGGCAGAGTTTTAGAAAACTGTTTAAGACAAAGCCAACGCTAAGTGGAGTTTCACAACTTTGTCTGAGGATTGGTTGGTTGGGGGGTTTTTTAACTCAAATGTGTACAGAAATACCAAAATTACTATGCAATCAAATATTAGTTCCCACCCAAACTGTGGGCAGCTCAGCTACTATTGCCTGGGAATTCTAGTTGTCCCCAGAGGTGCTGCCCCTGCCTGGGGCACATAACTGTGGTTGTACCCCTTCCAGCTGGTATGATCCTCCTTCTCTATGCAGAAGCATGTTCTGTTCGTATGCTCATACTGTTGACACTGTTTCTGCTTACCTGTTTTCTGTTCAGGCAGGAAGTAGTTAGTGACAGGGGAAGACATGGTGCTTATACTTCCTGCCTATGCTTCTTTAATAAAATAGGACTGTGAAACCAACAATAAAAGCCTTAATACTTTATCTGTGTAACCTTGCCCCTATGCAAACATAAACATCCGTACGTAATGCCTGCATAGTAAGATCATCTTTGAACTGGAGAATGTGTCTAACAATCTGCTATCGCTTTTTCTTTTCCCTGATGTGATACTGTATTTCTGGCACTCATTTCCCCTTCACCCAGATAACACAAGTGAATGCTGAAATGGCAGACTGCACATAAATTGTAGATTCATACAGACTGGAAGAGACATCCAGGTCAACCTCCTCCTCAAAACAGGATCAGCTGAATTCAGTCCAGGTTCCTCAGGGCTTTTTCCAGTTGGGTCTTGGAAACCTCCAAGGACAGAAATTCCACAATTTATCTGCAACCTGGTTCAATGCTGAATTATCCTCATACTGATTTTTTTTTTTCCTTATATCCAGTTAGATTCATAGGAGTCTTGCAAATTTTGTATTGTTAAAGTATATGGTTCTTAGAAAACAGTGAACACACTGTTCTTTCATTCGGAATATTTTCTTGCAGGTCATCCACAAACATTTTTACTTGAAAAGAGTGGAGATCATGGCTCAGTGTGAGGAGTGGATAGCAGACATACAGCAGTACAGCAGTGACAAACGGGTAGGCAGGACTATGTCCCACCATGCAGCAGCTCTAAAGGTGAGACTTGCTTTTATAATTTTATGTTCATTAATCCAAAGATGACAAATGGCAATGAAATTGCTCAGCAGCTGAATTTTATAATAACAATAGTAGAAAACGCCAGCAACTTTAAAACATGTAAACAAACCTAAGATTCCCAACTGTCAAGAAATAAAGCGTATGTGCCCTCCACTTTCTCAGTATCTTTTCCTACAAGTTAGATTTTCCTTTAGCGCCTGTCCTGCCTATTTTTCTATAAATACTTATGTAAGATATAGAGAGTTTATTTAGGTGGGTGGGGGTTTATGATAGTTGTACTACAACCAATTCCTTGCCAGAAAACAAGCTGTCTGAATAAACAAGCACAGTTATTAAACTGTGGTCCATTACAATTAGTTTTAACCTGCGTTAAACTTTTATCAACAGTTATAACCAGTTTTCTTCCTTCCTAGCCAAGTACTATCATTTGTGTATTTTGTGTCCACACAGACAACAGACCTGTATTACTTTTATGTTTATTTTTTTCTTCCCCTGTGGAGAAAAAAAAAAAAAAAATTAAAGGCTTCTTTTTTCTATCGCTAGACTTGAATTCTTTCAATGTGACTGGTCGTCAAAATGAAGTTACTGTTAGTTACTACGATCAGTATACAAATCTCTGTACATCTGTCTCTGTAACAGATCTCATCAAGACCATGAACTCTTTATAAATTTGTTTTGACTGTATGACCTACCTAGTCCAAGCCAGTTTCTGCTGTGATCACAGAACACAGATATGACTCAACTGCAAGACAAATAGCGTAGCATTTATATTGATGCACGTGTTTGCTGCAGTTCTGTTTACTGCCTTTAATTTGCCCCTAGCAGAATTTGCTAATTATTCTGTCACTACAAGGAAAGTACCAATCCTTAAATACAGGGGAAAAGTTTATCCAGTCATTGAAACGGTACATTTACACCTTTTCTACTTACTCCTTTTCTTTGCCTTATGTTCTCTAACATTTTGAAAAGTAATGTTTTAACTACGGTCTTGAAGTCCACATGATTTCTTTTTCTATATTCAGCGTCATACAGCTCAGTTGCGGGAAGAACTTCTAAAACTTCCCTGTCCTGAAGGATTGGATCCAGACACTGATGACTCCACAGAAAAATGCAGTGCCACAACGAGTTCAGAAGAGACTATGTTGCACGAACAGGTTAAACCCAGCAGCAGTAAAGATATTCCCACTGATTTCAAGTTATGAGTTGCATTGACATGGACTTTCTAGACACAAAGGCTTTGAAGCACAAGCCAAATATGTCAATATTTGTATGTAAGAAGCTAATTATGTAATAGGTAATGAAATTGAAACTATACTATGCCCTTAAGGATATACAGTTTAATTCAAGATGATCTTTTATTTACCTGTACAAGAGTGTAAACTTTTTTGTGCTTTTATTTTTCAATTGTGAGAACCACTGATTGGTATGTTTAAAAAGTTATGTATACAAGAAATGGATAAATCACTGCTATATAAGGGAAACTACCTTAGGAAAGAATGTTTACTGAATGTTTATTATTTTTTTTTACTTGTAGAGTGAGGGCGGTTGTAACAAAGAATATATATTGGTCATTCTTACAGCTACTATTTAAAGTCAGAAAATTTTCACTGAATTTGATAGATTTTACGTTTGGCCATATATTCATGCTCATATTTGATTCTAAAGAAAACCTCCTGTATACTTCAATAAACGTTAAATGGACATGATTCCTCTTTTATGATTTACTGGTACATTTTTAAAATAAACTGCCATAAAATACGTTCTAGCCGAAGACTTGCACTTGTATGACTGAATTCATTACAGTCAACATATTTAATTTTATGCTTACTAATTCTAAAATGCAGATGAAATAAATGCACATGGTTTTACCTCATGCCAAAATTTCGACTTCTGAATTTATCTTTTGTTTGGCTGTTTTATGCAAACTAACAGTATTCTAAATTTCTTAAGGGCTATTCTGGAACAAAGTCTTTTCTCTGAAATGTCTGATTCAGATAATCAACTGTACTCTAAGTACTGACAGGGGCTAATGACATGCCACGCAGGACTCCAAAGTTCTGCAGTTCCTACTGTATAGACTTAGTTCCAATTTTATACTTGCAACCACAGATCCCTAACCAGAAAGGGTAAGGGATTTGCTTGATTTAATAATCAAGTCTCGCTTTTAACGTAACATGCATTACTATCACTGTTCTTAATTTTTGAGCAGTCCTTGAAGGACTAAAAAGTTATTACTGGTATTACCTCAGACTAATGATCTGTTGTATTATAAATACTATAAATCAGGCAAAACCGAGGCTTTTTTGTTTTCTGTTTGTTCTTTGTTTATAAGTATCACGCTGGAATTTTTTCACTTTTTGTTTTACAATGTATTATTTCTAATCATTAAAAATGGCACCAACTGAGGTTGTGTTCTTATGCTGATGGTTAACAGACTTTGATAGTTCTGACCAAAGTACAATTTTTCTGTTATATTGATATGTTGTGTTAATGCAAGGCCTGTCCTGATTGTACATACCTCTCAAAACACCAACTTAGGCACGTCTGGGTTACTTCAGGGGATCCTTAATCAAAAAGCAAAACAAGCAGCTCTGTGCCAGAGCTGCTGGTAAATACATGAAAGAAAGTTTATGCCACATCGTCAAAGTGTTAGAATTTCATCAGTGTTAAAACAGCACTACATTTTTCTAGATGGGTTTTTACTTACCTTCTATTACTGTACAAAATGACTGTGATACTCTTGTAAAGGCTCCAAAAGCAAAATTACCCGCTGACTTCCAACTATATTTAAGTTAGTGGTTTCCATTAGAGCTCTTCGTTTACTGCTTAAACTGTCTGCCTACGGAAGCATAGTCTTTTTATAAAATCCTGGCACTTGTACCAAAACGAAATGTATCGGACCTGAAGATCCTCCTTAAACGTGAAGACTTTTTTTTTTCCCCGTTAAAAAACAACACTGAAATAAAAAGTACCTAACTTGCATTGATTTGACATTAAGAGGGTGGCTAACATGATTGTACCTTTTTCTCTAGTGTGTATTTATGGTATCATAGCAATGCTAATGTGAAGTCACTGCTGCTTAATTAAGCAGATGTAAACAGCTGCATGGGATATTAAACTCTAATTTGTATCCACATACCAATTATCTTTTTTTTTTTTTTTTGCTCTAACCTGAGCTAGAATGGTATTGTACCAAATTAATGCAGAGATTCAATCCTTAATAACTTGCAACTATGTTACAGTCTAGTAAGTAAATTGTGAACTTGGCAACAGATACAAAATATGTATTTTCAGTTCTTTAGGTATAACACACAAGGTAGCTATGTTACTTTGCAGTAAAATCACAGTAAATCCTATGAGGTATGTAGACAACTGAGTATTTTTTTAACCAGTTCCCCTATCTTTTACCACTTCATCAAATTGAATAGAAACCTGTATAGATAGATCACAGTTTCTAGCCATCACATTGAAGTACTGCGTTTTAACTGTTACGCTATTGTTGTAGAAAATGTTTTAAAAATCAACAGAAATTATTTTCAAAAGCGCAAAGGGCAGCAAACTGCTAATTAGCTCATTACAGAATTTCACCCCATGGTTTTTGGTACTGCCTTTGGCCCAAGATTCACCGCTGACACGTTGCCATGCAGTGTAGTGTGGGATGTTACCAGCCGTTGGAATCGCTGTAGCCACTCTGCCGAAAGAAGAGCGCACCACATAGTAAGTCAATAGTTTTTCCTGACGCTTCACAGACAATAATGCCAAGCTTTTCTGACTGATTCAATCTACACTATCTACCAAAGAGGGAACCGCTCAGCAATCTGTGAGACCTTGTGCTCGATGAGAGCAAACCACTCGTTATACTGATTGCTATGCATAAACAGCTGTTCTGTTTTGCAGTTGTAGTCACAGTACTCTTAGTATACAGACATGAATGACCTCTCTGCAAGATTTAGTGGTTTCCTCTGGAATTTCCTATGGGTAAAGGATGTGCATAAAAGTACGGATTAATGCCCCTCTGTAATCCTACCAGTGCTATACAGGAAAAAACAAAGATGGCAATCTAAAAAACCCAAGAAAATTTGAAACATAAGAACCCTGTAAACAACCTCAAGTTTCATTCCAGTAATTACATGTTAGATGTTTAGGTACTAGCAGAATAAAGCATGCCTGATTATAGATTGACTGGGTCTACAGCAGTCTGTTTGGCATTGTTGGATGGGGTTTGTTACTGTTTTTCTTCTCTAAATCTTTGACGTAAGTTCAAGGAAGGGACTGTGTGTGTCTGCTAGCCTGTCGAGGAGACTCCCTTGCAGCAGGTAAAATCATGCCAACACTGGTAAGGCATGGACTACTGATAGCTTCTAGGGAGCTTCCCTATGGGTCTGTCATCAGTACTGTGGTTGGATGATGGCCTATTAAGCAGCAGTAGAGCTTGAATTCTTTACTGGGGCGGGGGGGGGACAAAAAACAAAAAAACAACACTCACACAATTCAAGAAATAAATGTACTACACCACTTATGATGGCTTTAAGCCAATTTAACCTCTACTTGCTATATCCAATAGGGCATTCAGTCTCTGGCAGGAATCACGTTTTTAGGAAAACATTACTACAAAACAATCTTTTTTTCCACACAACTGTAATCCCATATAGAGGATGTTTATTAGGGGACCTTTTCTTCCCCAAAATGTTTCTGGTGTTACAAAAACAAATGTTCTATTTTACATCCTGAGGCAAACAACTTTGATAAGCAAACAAACATTAATTTACCTTGTTTACCCACAAATATCTGAACACAAATCCAGCTGACCTACATTTAAGCCAGGACTATGCTATGTTACTCTGATCCCTGTGAAGGAGAATTATTTAGGCTTAGGTTTTTATTTGGATTTTCTCAGACTTGTCGTCTTCATTTTTTACCTCCATGCTGCCTTTGTATTAGTGTGTTTTAGAAGTGTTCTGTTCTTGTTTCCTTATTTGTTTCCCCAGAAGCCAGTCACCATCATGGGGACTCACCTCCCTGGACAGTCAATTCTCTGTAGTTAGAAAACAGAAATTAGAAGCATTTTCCAATGGAAAGGAGACACAGATTTACATTTATCTTACCATAAGGAACAAGTATAAGGTACAGAAGCTATTTGAGAGATATGTTCTCAATTTTTTTTTTTTTACCATATATACACACATACATACACATATACATATTTATATATGTATAAATGCATCAGGTCTGGCAGTTATTTGTTGTTGAAAAACAGTTTTCTGAACTTTATTTTCCCTCTCCTTTTCCATAGATAGTGAAAACAATAGGTGGGATGTGCAGGTGTTTATATTGGAACATGAACTTTCTAAAATACAGTAAATTGAATGGGGGTCAAAGTAAGTTCCATAATTACTAAAACGAATCACAGGTAGAAACATTTCATTCTCTAGAGATTTTGTTGTTGCCGTTGTTTTATTCTCCTAGAACATGAGTGCAGAAAATACAATATCTACTCAGTGAATTACTATAGTAGAGGTCTAAAATGATCTCACCACTGCCTCTGTTTTTAATAAAGGCTCAGAGAAAACAAATCCCAAACCACAATGCTCTATCTTGATTGAGAGAGTTCTGCATATTGTCACCTGTCATCTCTGCAGGCTGCAATCTTATCTTTTCTGTGCTTCTTGCCTCAGAAGCAACTTTTTGGCTCTTGAAAAGTGATAACCTGGTCCGCTTGGTTCTCCAGCTGTATTAATGCTACTTATCCTTTACATTAAGAGTGCCTATACTATCTGTTTCATTTAATAATACAATATCATCCTCAAATGTCTAGATAATATTAATGCTAGAGCTGGTAACATTTCTCTAATTCAGATAGGAAAAATTTGTATTTAAGGTTGTTTAGTTAAAAGTCCAGAAAGGAAAGAAGCAGGTTCTTTATCAGTCTGAGACCATGCAGAGCATCTAGCAGCCCTGCTTCTGATGGGAAGATAGCTGAGTTAATCTTGGGAACCAGTGCAAGCAGAGCGTCAGAAAATCTGGAAGTAAGAAAAGGCATGTTATTGTCCCCCTCAAAGACATTTAGAAATCAGGTAACTCTGGTGAGGCTTGCATACAACAGAAGCTGTTAAACCTCGAGAGTAATGCCCAAAATTATACTTAAACCAAATATAAATGTGTATTTGCAAAAATAACAAGCAGGCTGATATACTAAGGTTGCTAGAGCAACGAGTCACATATGGTTTTACATGAGGAACACGCTTCTCAAACATATCACGTCTCACTGCATTTAAAAACCTGCAGATACTTTCCTGTTGCCACTGTTGTGCTCCATACTTGCAGCTTAACCACTTACTGCATTTTTTTTTTTATTTGTCCCGCACCTCTATTCATTGTTCTCTTCCTCACCTACCAACCCACATCCACAGACATGCACAAAGCCTTCAGTAGTTCATAAACTCTTTGTATAAAGCTCTATGGGTAGAAAGCAACCACATCCCAGCCCCCCGATAGCAAACATATGAACACATCTTTAAAAAAAAACCACACCAACAACCAGAAAATTAAAGCAAACTAAAATCTCATAATAAAAAAAATTCAATTTGTCATCATTAAAGACTGTCTGTGTTGCTGCATTAAGCATTTTCTCATTGACCAGGAGAGCAAATGGGAAAAGCAAAATGTAGGGGTTTTTTCCATCTTTTCTATTTTCTTTCAGATATTTAAACAAGCATGTGATTCAGAAAAAGAATGCCAACAGAAAATGTCTTGCAACCTACTCCTAAACAATGGTTTGGATGTCTCCAGAAGCCCTGTTCTCTCACCTTGAAACTGTAAGTTTTCAGCCACAGAAAACCTTCGCCCATACCTAAATTAGCAATAACCACATCAGT